TGAAGAGCATCAAGGAGTTGATGAATGGGGTGGGTTGGATGCGCTCCAAAGACGGAAGAGCAGTTGACCTCACAACCGGGCCGGCGCAACTCTCGCAGAGAACTCAGCCTCTCTGGGACCGCATTCACCTACTCAACGATTTCTGGGAAGGAGCACCTCGCGCGCCCCTCTTCAGTATACAATGCGACTATTTGCATTCGAGCGATGCAGATGCGGTCGATGCCAGGCACACCTTCAAGGAAGTCGACACACTTGTTTATAGGATAGCCACGAAAGCGAAGAAGCCCAGCCCCGGCGACGAATCTGACATGCCGGCGCCACGTTTCGTTAGGGAGCTGTACGAAAGTGTCATTCCTTTGCTTGTGGTCACGCTTGGAAACGTATTCCAAAAGGGTACTGAGCACAATACATCACATTACACCGGGTCGTTCACGAAAACGATGTTGCAAATTATGCACAGACTGGTTGCTTGGATTGAGAAGCTATACTATGGCATGCTCTCAAACCTTGCGAGGAGGAGGCAGAAGGAGCAATTACTATCCAAGAAGCTCAGTCGAGGGAAGCTGGCCGACTATTTACGAGGCTTCAAGCGAGAGCTGGATGTGACTTGGACCAAGGTCAATCACACGATTCAGCGGCAACGACTTTACGAACAGCGGTTCGTTGAGAAGAAACAGAAGGAAAAGCGAGAGCGGCACGAATACGAAGAGACCAGACGACGACAACGGGAGTTTTGCGATAGACGACTGGAAGAGCGGATTGCAGCCGAGAAAGCACGCAGAATGGCAGGCTCCCCGCAACAGAGTCAACAAAGCAGGTACGAGAGACAGCAGGCTGGACCAGTGAATCGTCATCTACATACTACGCGAGGATCGGTGGACGTTGAGCCCTTTGCCTGGCCTGAAGCAGATGCCAAGTGGCTTCTACAGACGTTGTCCGCCAGACCAGACTCTGGTACTCAAGCGCTCGCAGTGATGCTCAAACGCGACGAAGGCGATGTCATAGCTATGATCAGCTTGCTTAAGCAAAGCGCCAGGGCACACGCAGCATCGAGAGGCAAGGAGGTTCCGGCATTTGCAGCAACTTGAGCTGAGAAGTGCCGACTTGTTGAGATACACTAGCTGCGAGTTTATTGTCTTTTGAGGATACCCACACATTCCTAGCGAGCGTCTCAATATCATTATTCCGGGCATATGAGGAAGCCTCGATTTATCAAGTTCAATCATGTCTGCGCGCAGGGTTTCGCCTACTACCTCACCTCACGCGTAATCAGCGGTGATGACTCGCAATCAGCGTTTCGGATGATGCCAATTATTACCAAACCGTTTCCTCTATGCGGTTGCAATTAGCGAAGAGCATGAATCATGCCCCAATCACCGGTCAGAACAGCAGCAATTTTGACACGAAGGCTCTGCTGGAAGATTTGACCATGGAGAGACGATATCACGATACGACGTCAAAATGACGCCGTGAGGTTGTGTCTTCTTAGCACGGAGTTAGAAAGGGCTATAGCAGGATCCGGAAACGGCATAGGTGAGCGGCCACAGTGTAGTCTGTGTAGTGTCGATTCCCTCTTCTTCCCACGTGGGCACCTCCGATCCGATCCCACCTGTTCGTGTCATTGGGCTGGGGGGCCGGGCAAAGGAAACGGACGGCCGGCGCAAGGGGGCGTGGGAAACAATGGCCATAACCTACACAGTGAGGAGCAGGAGACGGGATTGAGAAGGAGAGGAAAGGCGCCCATAGCTCCTGAACCTCTGGAACCTCCTCCTCAGGCTCCTCTGGTTGCGGCGGCCGCCAGAACACGCGCAAAAACATCTGCCGAAGATTTTGGCTTCGGGGGGGCTGATAAGCCACGTAAGGCGACGCCGTGACACTGGGGCCCGTTGGTTGGGGCTTTTGGGAGGATGGGGGCACGACTGGGGTGCGCTGGCCGTGGGGCCTTCGGCAGATGGTTTTTGGGAGGAGGATTTGAAAGAGCGGGAGATGGAGGACGAGGGTTGGTCCCTGGAAGGGTTTGGCGATGTCTCACTGAGAAGTAATTGTCAACTGCAGACAGCCTTCTCGGTCTCTCTTCCTCGTATAGTGAGATTAGACATTGAGAGATGTGTCTGGTTTCGATTCGGAGAGCGAGAAATCGCTTGACTTACTTGGAGCGAGTGAGAGTAACGAGCTGGAGTTAACAAGAAAAAAAAAAAAAAAAAGGGAATAGTTCAGCTCGCTAACATCCAAGAGACATTCCTCATTCATGAGCCCTTGAACTAGGAGATTCGAATTCCTTAACACTAGAGACACTATGGAATACATGATCTGTTTTACTATGAACCGCCGAACCGGCGACTTTCCCTCGCGAACGATGGCATAGGTCATTGGGGTAGCATTTAGGGCGGCGCGACGGCGCACAAGCGTGCGGTTCTTTCGGCCTTCGACACGTGAGATGGAAGGTTGGTCTACTGTGCTAACACGGTAGGGGAAGTTGGATCCAGACGACGGCCCTATTTTTGGCTTTTGGGCTTTGGAGCGATCAACAGAGCTGGCCGGATCATTTGCCGAGGAAAACTGAATCTCGAGGCTACTTGTTTTAGAACCGGGTTGAGTCACTGGTTAGTGTACAGTATTGAGGCCTGTAGTTATTGTTTCTAACTTCTGTTCCAGCTTCAGTCTGACAGTCTAGAACTGGGCGGTAAAACAGTCCAACTCTGGGTTGGTTTTCCACTCTTTGGTGTAACAAGTATCTTCACTCGGTGTGATGTAAATATGCACTGTTTGTGGTGTTTTATACAATTTTGGAATTCTTTCGCCGGGTCGTTCCTGACTGGGAACGCCTCAAATCTGCACAAACGGGCAAGAACTTTCTTTTTGCGACACTGTTCGAAGAAGCAACAAGACGTCAAGCTCATGTGCTGTAACCCAACCACATCATCTCAGATAATACAATGTGCCATCCCTCGGCTACTATGCACTCATGGTACCTAATCCTTGCGGCGGTAAGGCGTCACTGGGCGATGCATGTGCGGGGAACCCTTGAGTTGTCAGTGAAGCCAGGTGTCCGGGGCGGGAGCGGGTATGCGGCGCGTGGTTGGGGGAGGAGGTTCCAGAACTGCTGGATGAGTACAGGAGACTCCGACGAGAGGGCCGATGAGAGGGCCGAGAGAAGCCGGGCTATTCGGGGGGCGGAGAATGAATGGGCGCCGAGGCCGAAGCTTGGAGAAAGGCTCATACGCGTACGAAGATCGCAACTGTGCCGTTCGCTTCGCTAGGGAGTGTCCATACGAGCATGTCGTTTCCACAAGCTCGTGCTTGTGAAGGCTCCGTGTCTGCGGTGGAAACAAGGTATCATGGCATGAAGGGGAGGGTCCGGCGCCTGTCTCTCCCTCCTTTCGGGGCCGAAAGCGTTTGACCGTCGCCCCGGCACCAATCACGTCTCATTCCAAGCGACGCTGCGTCAGGGACCAAGAAGGCTACTGCGTTGGTAGGGAAGGGGTTCTCCATGGATCAACCCCATACGTGGAGCCCTGTGATGTCTTGGACTACGGGAGTTGGGATGGACTCCGGGCCAGAAAGTCGGCAAATGAAAGTCGGATCGAAGTCGAGCTTGGATGTCTCTGATTGCTATGGAATTATGAGTTCATGATCAGTAATGAAGGCAAACATTTCTTGTTCCTTCGCCCGTCTCGGCGATGTCGGCGAGCCAAAGGAGTGAGACACGTTGACAAAGGGGACTGGACATATTTCCTATGTATGGATAGCAAGAATGGGTCGGTATCATGGTCTGGTAGGCCGAGGATTTGTGAACAAAGGACTTCTAATTGGGGAGAGTATGGCTCTACTGTATTTGCTTGAGGCTGTCCAGACCCAAAACAAGACCAAGATCGAGACCATGGGTTCTTGAAACAGCAGCCATGAGTGAGACTGAGAATGAGAGTGAGAGTGAGACTCACAGTGAAAGAGAGAGAGAGGGACAGAGTCTGACAGAGCAAGTGAGCGCATTTACAACTGCCGTGCCCCCCACCAGATGCCTTGGCCATGTCATGCCTGTTTCCAGCATCCTACGGGGCCCCTCCCCCGCAGATAAGGTACCCCAACGGTGGGTCGGCGCGCCGCCCGGTGTTTTGAGAGTTGCGCAGCTTACCGCCGACAGAATGCTGCAACTTGCAGCTAACGGGATGCCTTGAGGAGTGCTCCGAGCCTGGAGCACTGAGCAGTCGGTCGAGCAATTGACTACTCCGTAGAGCATCGAAAGCAGACATGGGGGAGGCGGCTCCATCTTCCCGTTTCTGCATAGCTCTCTTCTGCACCTCTTCCGCCTCCGACGTTCCTTGTCTCTCGAGTCTCGCGGGGTTCGTTCTTATGCGGCAGCAATGCGTCTGGATATCATACGAGTCCAGCCAAGCCTCGGATAACCCGAATCAGCGCTCTCTGTTCTCGATCAGGATCGTATCCTCGGGGCCAACGCTTTCAGTGAGCAGTAAGGTACGGTTAGGCGAGTGCCCGCACTTGGGACGAGGGCCCTCGAGTTCTCGACAGAAATATGAGAAATGCATCTGCCGAAGATTCCATCACTCATGACTAACCTTCAGCATCCTGACCAAGGTGTCCACCACCCCTCCATCACCTCCATCTGGGCTTGGGGGGGGGGGGGGTGCTTTGGCGGTAACTCTTCCTCGCAGACCTCATTCTGTCTTGTGGGTGTCCGTGTCCTTGCCAACACGAGCGTTGACGTTGAGGCTGCTTCGGCAGGCAATTGAGCCCCTCATTCCAGCTCTGGTTGACAGCTGATCTGTCTCGCTGCGAGTGCGACCCCCCGGTGGAGGAGGACCATGATGGCGCAACATGAATGATGACAATGACAGCGACGACCTGCCGTGACTCGTTGCTCAGAGCATCATCCGGCTCGGTCCCTTCGGCAGCGGTCACACACACACTCTCTCTCACCATAGGAACCAAAGACGACGGACGGCGGGCTTGAACTAGGGTCCCTCACCCCTACAGGCTACAGCCTACAGGCTCCTACCCCAGGATCTCTCATGACTTGGCTGGAAATCCCTCGCGCGCAAAGTGGGAGCTGAACATGCTGTACCACTCACACCATAACATCCCGCCGGTGTCATTCTGCGAGCCTCTGAGTGGCCACCGCAAGCTGCGGTACCTGAGACCCGAGCTAGCGTCGAAGAGCTTGCTGCGTAAGGTGTGGCATTCCATTTGCTCTCGTCTTCTCTCTTTCCCAGGACATGACGTTGGGGGCTCCCACCTGTACAAAGTACCCCGTCCGCGTATCTTGAAGTCTGAAGTCTTGATTTCCTCTGGTCGCCTGGGGGCGATTCGATGGGCTGCTTCTTTCCGTCTAACCTCTAGTATACGGCCACGGCTACGGCTCTGGAAACAGACGCCGGCGCCTTTGGGGCCACACTCTCTGCTGATGTTTGCCTCCCTCTTGGACTTGTCACACTGTCCGACTTCTGCTCTCTTGTTGGACCGGACGACTCGCTCCATCCTCAAACGACCAGCCAACGACCCGTCTACCGAGCTACTGTTTTAGCACACGATTCTAGTACACCACGATTAGTGATGAGTGTAATCGTCAACGTCTTCGTCTTCCGAAATCGCGTGGCCTTGAACGCCGGACGGTTGGTACAGTCCTAGTCCTGGTCACCCCGAACGGCACCTCTCGGCGTCGACTATCCTCACTCATCTTCGTGTTCTTCCAGCCTCTTCCGTGTGGCTTTATCTTGCAACAGCGAGTCTGTGACACCTTTCCCTCTCTCGCCGCCGCCTCACCCTTCGGCACGGCGCCTACCATTACCGCCTTCTTGTCTCCCCCGAGTTCCTAGGTTCTCTCCAATTTTTCCACATTTTTTCCACTTCGGATCCGCCAGTCCCCCAACCCATATCCCAGAAGCGCAAACACCCTTGCGAAATTCTAACTTTATTCTGTTCCCGCCCTCTTGTCTTGTCTTGTCTCATCTCGCACGAGACTCTGCGCCGAATGTCCAACGCTCTTCCCCTCGGCCGTGGAGACTAAGGTATTCATAGTCAGACACTAGGTATCCGTAGGCAGAGGATACCTCGTCAAGGGTTGGAAACCTTCTCAAGCTCCTAGCCATCCTCCTAGGCTCTTCTCAGTTGCCCCCATTCCCTTCCCCCCTCCACTTACTACTCTCCGAGCTTCGTCCTACCTTGCAGTTACGCGGTGCCGTCTCGTCTTGGCTACATTACTGGCGGTGCCCATAGATCGCCGAGAGGTTCCCAATAATTTACTTGCCGACCTGCCGCCCCAAAACCAGACACACACACACACACACACACACACACACACACACACACACATAACACGAAAAAGCTAAGCGCATCTGCCATCTCGACGTGACGCCTGTTCCTCCTTGACTCCACCCCGCCGAGGCACAGTCCGCAGGACCTGCACGTCGACCATACGGCATGCCCCCTCGCATACCTCTTCCTGTATGCCCCATAGGATCCGGTCGATACATCCCAACATAGAAACTGGGTAAATTGCACTTCGGTACCTGAATCGGGAATTCCATTTCACGCCCGGCTACATCTACTTGGATCCACCCGCTTGGAGGTTTACCTTACAGTCTTCTTATACCGAGGGCGCCGCCACCAAGACCTTTCTCGCTGCGTTTTGTTATACTCAACGGCCAAGCTCCGTCTCATGACAACACAACCTCAGTCAAGATGCACGGCATTACAGAAACGATACTAGAGACGTTCGCACAGCACTGGCTCTCAATAGGCCTGTCACTTATTGTAGCCTGGCTGGTGAAGAACCGCTATAACAATGGCCTCAACAAGTACCCAGGACCCTTCCTGGCCTCATTGACAGACTGGTGGCGCTTCTTCGATGTAAAGGGCTGCCGTCCAGAGGTTACACATCAAAAGTTGCACGCAAAATATGGTGACGTCGTCCGCCTCGGCCCCAACACTCTCTCCTTTGCCGACCCAGCTGCTTTGAAGAGCATCTACGGCCTGAACAAGGGCTTCGTAAAGGTAGAGTCCATATGGTTATCTTCACAACATCTACAGCAACTAACCGTCTTAGTCCGACTTTTACATCGTCCAACAGTCTATTGCCAAGGGCTTCAGGCTCGAGTCCCTTTTTAGCACGACAAACAATGACTTCCACTCTCAGTTCCGCCGCTGCGTCAACTCGGCCTTCTCCATGTCCGCCTTGGTCCAGTATGAGCCCTTTGTCGACAACACGACGAAGCTCTTCCTCTCTCAGACGGAGAAGCTGTTTGCTGGAAACCCCGAGGGATGTGACTTCACCACGTGGTTGCAGTTCTACGCATTCGACGTCATTGGAGAGATCACCTACAGCAAGCGCCACGGCTTCATCGAGAAGAATGAGGACATTGATGGAATTGTGGCCTACCTGGGCAAGCTGTTCCTCTATGTCGCACCGGTAAGTCCATCCAGAGTATCACTGGAGCTACTCCGAGACAACTAGCTAACATGTCCGAAGATTGGCCAAATTCCCTTCCTCGATCTCCTGCTCCTCAAGAACCCAATCTACCTGAAGCTCTCCCAATGGGGCTTCATTGACGCCACCTTCCCCGTAGCCCGCTTCGCCCGCGACCGCATGGCCGAGCGCCTCCCCGAGCTCGACGGCAAGGAACCCCTTCTCCCCGTCACCTCGGGCAAGAAGCTCGCCGAGCAGCCCGATCTCCTTTCCAAGTTCTTGGCCGCGCGCGAGGCCCGCCCCGAGTTCATGTCCGACATCCTCGTCCAGACCATGGCCGTCAGCATGGCCTTTGCCGGCTCCGAGACCACCGCCATCAGCCTGGCTGCCGTCTTCTACTACCTTCTCCGGACACCGACGGCGCTGACGCGGTTGAGGGACGAGCTGGATACGTTTGCGCGGGAGGGCGGCTTCAGTGATAACGAGACGGGACTGGTGACGTGGACTGAGGCCCAGAAGCTCGTGTATCTCGATGCATGTGTCAAGGAGGCCTTCCGCATGCACCCGGCCGCCGGTCTGCCGCTGGAGCGCATCGTCCCTGACCAGGGCGCCGAGATTGCGGGCCACTTTGTCAAGGGCGGCACGATTGTAGGCTGTAGCGCGTGGATTATTCACCGCCGACCAGAGATTTGGGGTGAGGATGTCGACACCTACCGCCCGGAGCGTTGGTTGCCGGAGGAGGGCAAGGATGCCGCGGCGGAGGAGAAGAGGATCAAGGAGATGAACGGGCACATGTTCCAGTTTGGCATGGGCAGCCGGACGTGTATCGGAAAGAACATTAGCCTGTTGGAGATTTACAAGGTCATTCCGAGCTTGCTCAGGAGATTCGACGTAAGTTTGCAACACTTTGCCTGTTGTAAAGAGAGGACTGCCGATACTGACAATGACTAGATTTCCTTCAAGGACCCGAGCCAAGAGTGGGAGCTGGTCAACGCGTGGTTCGTCAAGCAGAACAACTTCCAGGCCAAGTTTTCCAGGAGGGATATCATTACCAAAGACAGTACCAACGAGAAGGTTGAGTCATAGAGACTACGTGAGGTGTTGTTGTAGATGGACCATGGTTGTTGACGAGATTGATGACGTGGATGAATACTATAGAAGTAAATATATCAAAAACCGAAAAAAAATCAGAAATTGTTTATACCATATTATTTCTGACATGCACCTATATCTGCATCATTTCGTGAGTTTTTTTTTACAGGATGTATTTCGGCAACAGGCCTTGTTCTACTGAGAACAAGTAGCGGAGACCTAACCCAACTCCCTTCTTCCACGTCTTTATATACACCATTTCGCATCTGATAGGCCCCTCCTCCTTTTAGGTAAATGCAGTCTTCGAACAGGATATCTTTCGGCAACAGGTATATATGCATCCATCTCGACGCCCAAGCAAAAAAGAAGAAAAACAAACACCAATAACAAGAAGAAAAGAGAGTCTGAGAACCGGGCTCACTCAAGCCCACTCAAACTCATTCTTCAACCCTTCAACTCCGCTCTCATCCTCGGTATCCAAGTACCCCGCGATCCGCCCCTTGGGATCCCACACCTTGCGCACGTCCATCAGCCTCTTGCCCTGCTCGTCGCCCCAGAACTTTGTCCTGCGGTACCGGAAGTCGGCGTCACCGAGATACGAGCCCGCCGCGTGCCTCTCGACGCCAGCCATGATGTCGCTCACCCAGCCCTGGCACCGCTCGTCGTCCTCGGCGTCCGGGTAGACTGTGTAGAGGGCGAAGTAGTGGTCCGACTGCATGCTGAGCGCCATGTCGGGCATGGTCTTTGCCGCGCCGTTGCCGGTGCCGTTGGCCGACGACGGCGGCGTCTCGCCGGCAGTCTGCTGCGTGCGCCGAGAGCAAGGATTCATGGAGAAGTACAGCGCAAACGACTGCGGCGTGGGCAGCTCGGTGAACGCCTTCTTGAGGACCTTGGGCACGTTGGCGTCGTTGGAGACGTAGGCGTTTTCGGATATGTAGCGGTGGGCGGGCGGGTTGGAGGCGTCCTGGTCGACGTACTGCTGCGGGAGGGAGGTCGGGGTGGCGAAGACGGTGGCGAGGGGCCGGGAGGGGTGGGAGGAGTGGAGGGGGATGAGGGCTTCCGGGTTCGCGGAGAAGGAGAGGAAGTTTGCCATGATTTGCGGGGTGGTTTGGCCTGGTGGTGTGAGGGCCAGGAGGACGATTTCGAGTTCTGGGGAGGCTTTTGGGGAGATCTGTTGTTGTATTAGTGGTTGTTGCGTGAAATGTCAGGAGAGGATGAGGCGTAGACGGATTAGAGAGGGCTTACCTTGATCACCCAGTTCAGAATCTCCTCGAAGCGGTCGAGGGAGTAAAAGTAGAGGGACTGGAACATGCCCGTCAGGGGGCGGGTGCGGAGGTGGAAGCGGGTGACGATGGCAGGGAAGCCTATTGTAAGTCGTTAGCCAAGTTTTCTTCTCTATCCCCCGATGAGTCGGGGAAGGCGAAGGGGTCGGCCGGAAGTCACGTACCCGGTCCGGCGCCGCGCGCGGCCCAAAAGAGGTCGGCGTTCTCCGTCTCGGAGCAGCGGAGCTCTCGTCCATCGGCCGTGACAACCTCAATGGCGACGATATTCTCACACGCCCAGCCCCAGTTCTGTCTTTTTGTCAGTTCCTCCCTTTTCAAGAATTCGACATCCCAGGCCGAACAAACTCACCTTGCAATTCCACCCCATACCACCCTGCAACAAAAACCCACCGAGCCCAACATCAGGACAATGACCACCAGGGAAAAACCTGCCCATCCCCTCAATACTATCATCCCCAGGCCCGCCAATCTGCCCAGCCAGAAACCCATTCACCTCCCTCCCCGTCCTCGCCGGCGCAACACTGACAATGCCCGTCTTGGAATCATACGCGATGCCATCCTCGTTGCCGCTGCCCGCAACGCCTTTACCCATACTCCCCAAATCAATCAGCAGCGCCTCATCGCGAACAGACCACGCGGCCCACGAGTGGCCCCCCGAGCGAACGCTCACGCGCCACCCCTTTTCGTTTGCAATCTTGACGGCCTCGACGACGTGGGCTTTGCGCGTGGCGGTGACGACGGCGGCCGGGCGCCGGGAAAAGTCGCGGCGGGCGTTGAAGACGCGGCCCCAGACTGCGGTGGAGTATTCCGAGAAGGGGGTGTCTTCTGCGTAGAGGATTGGGAGCGGCGTGGCGGCCGGGGATGGGTAGGAAGATTGCTGTTGCTGCTCCGCCTGCATCTTTGCGAGTCGAGGGATTCTCATTGAGTCGACTTCTCGGGGGGGACGAGGCAGGATCTGCGGGTTGGGGGTGTTATAAGAGTCGTCTAGTAAGGTAGGTAGATCGCGGGGGAGCTGAATTCAGATAGGACCGGGTGTTTCCGTCCTGGGTGAAAGAATGATGGCGTCTTGCTCTAATTTCCGTCCCGTCTTGGTTCTCTTCGATCAAGATCTCTTTCTTTTGCTGGTTTCCCCCTAATGTTGCTCTACCAGTCAGGTAGGTATTGTTGCGGCTTGAAGCTTGTGATATTGAGACAACGGATCGGGCCTTGGTATTCCCGGGAAATCTGGAGCTGAACCCGGTTTCGCGGGCGCGGGTTGCCTGACAAAGACTCAAAGGGCCAAGTAAGAAGAAGGCGTCGAGTCTAGTATATGCAAGCTGAGCTTTGGCGGGCGTAGATATGTAGGCTTATGTAGGCTTAGAGGTAGGAAGCCGTAGTTTGTATCGTCTTCGGTCTCGATGGATTGATTTGAACTCGAACTGGAGCAGTAACGTAGGTAAATCAATCTTTCAGCTGAAGGAAACAGCGCGGCGCCTCAAAAGCCCTAAATACTGTCCGCCCTCTGCCCCTCCTTATATGGCCTTTCCGAGAGCTGTTTGTTTATCTCGCTGTCCTAAGTCGAGGATTTCTGCGATTTCGCAAGCCCGCTGGCCCAGCTCTTTCACGTTTGTACGCTAGTCGTTATCAAATCAAACGAGGTGTTACGAGCAGCTTGGATAAGCCTGCCAGTCTGCGTAACACTCGCAGGCTTCGCACGCCTCGCTTGCGCTTGCTAGTAGGAATGGGGCCCTGTCTAGACCTGTGCCGACTGGAGCTCCCCAGCTGGGGGGGTTTTTGGCACCGTGTCGGCGCGTCCTGACTCTCCCTATGTAATATGCGGCTGGTCCAGAATCCAGATTGAGGTAAAAGGGCTCGGCGGAATAGAGAAATGCGGTCTTGGGTTTGTTTGCTATCAAAGCAAGCTTAAGCCGGATAAGCTTCCGAAAAGGTCCCAAGGGGAGTAGAACAGCAGGATAGACCCCCCGAGAGAGAGATCTTCTCCCGCTAACAATCCTTTGGAATGCAAGAATCGAACGACAATTGCCTTTCGGTAGATGAGAAATGTGGATAACAAAAGAAGCACGAGGTCAAAGCAAAAGAGGATCCAATGCGATGTTTCCAACGGCTAGTTTGAGAAATTTCAACGGCAATTCCGTGTTAAATAAGAAAAACAGGACACAGCTTGTAGTTTCATCGCGTCTTGGAACGAAGTCACCTTACTCTCACTTATTCTCCACGGGATGAAGACAGAAGAGGGGAGTGAAGAGAGGCAGAAAATCCACCCATCCACCATCAGCTAATCCTCCACCCGGCGCTGCGCGCCCCCTCCCTCCCCCACTGTCCCGCGCGATTTCTGTTGCCGTGATTGGACAGATACGATTCATGTCTCTGCAGCAATTGGAGTGTTTCTGCGTCAAAAGAATGCCGTACCGTGTGGCATGCCAATCTTGTTGTGTGTTACAGTTGTTTTCTGTGCCGCCCGCCCGCCCGCATCCCGTGAAACCAAACAGCTTTGATGTACTCGGTGGACCGTAGGTATCCGTAGATCGGAAGGCGGGGAGACTGAGAAGAGACAGAAGGCAAGAGATCTGACGAATGATGGGGATCATGACACCAGGAAACAGCTTTACTCAGCGGCCAGAAGCAAAGCAAAGCAAACCTAGGTATCCCACCTCCACCCGGGCCCAGGCCGCTGACGAAAGCCTCCGTGGCCTCCGTGGCGCATCACCATATCCCAGGCCACCTCACCTCACATCACCTCATCACGACGAACCACAACCTCGGTCCGTTCTCAAGGAATAATGAAGACAAGAAAGAGAGCCCACCAGAGGGAGAAAAAAGGGGACCACAGCAATCTTCAACACTACGGATACTCACTGCGACTAACCAAGTCCAACCTTAGCCCCCTCTTCCACGAGCCGCGTCAACCATGGAAACCACTACTTCGTAGACTAACTAGTATAGCTTAGCAGGGAACCTAAGCCGGCCCGCGGGAGACCGGAGCAACCACGCGGCACTACCCATTTCGCAGCTTTCGTAACACTGCCACCACGGCCACCTCGTGGCTTTGTCTAGACATGGTTAACTACCAAAGTTATGAATTCATGGCAGAGCCTGGGCCCTGAAATCTACGGGACCTGGATTGTGGAAAATCGGATCAGGAACCCGCACACTCTCGACTCAGTTCGGGGGTTCCTGGTGCCCAGTCTAATTACCACGAGGAAGTACGGATAGCGCTTCCGCGGACCGTAAGTTCGTAAGCCACGGTGTGATGGCCGACGGCAACATCACCAGTCACGGCAACTCAATTTCCAAGACAAAAAGTTACAGCGCCGGCGATGGAGACCCTCGGACTCGGGGAAAGTTGGGAACTGGCAAATTTGGGCTTGCGAGAGGAAAAAGGGGGTATCGTCCATTGCTACCTCGTCTCGTCACACGCAAATTCCTCCAAACAATTACACACATACACTCACTCAACCGCATGCCAAACTATTCTGACACGCTACACAGCACAGCAGCAGCAGCACCTACAGCACGACAACAGTCGGCTGTCTCTCCCCATTCTCTCTATCCATCTCCCGCAAATCAATTTGAGTATCAGTACGCAAAACAAGCACTTCTCTTCCCTTTCCGTTGCCAGCGCGTCTGTAGTCGAGCAAGTGCAATGCTTTTTTGCCATTTCAACTAGACGCGCCAAACAATGTAAAAACCTCCGTGCTGTGTATTAAAACAAGAAACCTCGATCCCGACCAGGCGGGGTGGGCGAGGAGAAGCGGCCAACGAGCCTTGCGTTGCGTTGTGTTGCGGGAGCTGTCAGGCCGGTGACAAGCCTACTAGCCAACGCAGACATTTTTGCCTTTTTGATCCTGTCCATGAGTTGCCCGTCTTTCTTTGGAAAGTGTGCTGGGCAGTATCTAGTTGTTATTGTTGTTATTGAGGTGCGGCGATTGCTGGAAATCTGTAATGGACTCCAGCATGGCCAGGTTCTTCTCCTGCATGTCGCGGTCCATATTGTGGATCTGGTTCGCGTTGACTCTAGCTCGTTGTAGCTGCGAATCCCGAATTAGCATTCTTGTCCCATCTCTCCAAACAAAGGGAGCATCAAGCAGGGCGTTCGCACCACAGCCAGTGCCTCGGAGGAATGGTCTTCTTCCTCACCTTCCGCGGGCTTGGCCGCTGAGCCGTCCGCCTCGTCGTCTTCGTCGTCGCCAACGGCAAATCTGCTGGCCGCAAGTCCCTTGGGCTTGGCAGCCGATGCGTTGGCCTGCATCGCGTTAGTGATAGTTCGCCCGAGCCGCACGTAACAAGAACCAAAAAAACGTACCTTGGCCTCTGCAATCTCGGCATCCTTGACCTTGAGTTGCGCCTGGAATTCCTCAACGCCCTTCTCTTTGTCGGCCAATGACTTTCTCAGGCTCTCAACCTGCTCCTCCAGCGCTCTGCGCTTGGCCTGCTCCTCCTCCACAATCTTGGTCATTGTGTCGTTGAGCTCCTCGTAGTCGGCCTTGTAGGTCTTGAGCTGCTTGTCGGCCTCAAACTGAGATGCCTCAAGCTCCTTTTGCGCGAGCAGCAGGTCCTCCTTGACATCCTCGACCTCCTGCTTGGCAATGGTGAGGCTCTTTTGCACTACAGTAAGCTCCTGCTCAAGCCCCTTCTTGGTGTTGTTCAGTTGTTCACGGAGGTTGTCCGCCTCAGCAGTGTCGGGCGTCTTGTTTTTGACGGCATCGAGAGCCGCTTCAGCCTCGGCGCGCGCCATCTTCTCAACCGAGATCATGGCACCGAGCTCGCCGAGCTCTTCCTCGAGACTGGCCTTCTCCGTCTCGGCCTTTTTGATGGAGTCCTTGGCAGCGGAGAGAGCAGCCTCGAGCTCGGCCGCGCCAGCTTGGGTCTTGGTCTTGTCAGCCTCCGCCTGGGCAACGGACTCCTTGGCAGCCTGGAGGGCAGATTCGAGCTTGGAGGCATCGGCCGAGATCTTCTCAATCTCTTTGGCAAGCGACTCGTTTCTGGCCTCATACTGGCTAGTCAGCTCCTCCACAACCTTGGAGTGAGCCTTGTTGATCTCTTCGAGCTCAGCCCGGGCTCCAGAGGAGCTCTGCTGCTTCAGTGCCTCAAGCTGCTCGGCGTGGCTGGAGATGAGCTTCTCAACCTCGGCCGAGTGAGAGTCGTCGAGGTTTCTCTTGGCCTCGGCAAGAGCAGCCGCGCTCGAAGTCTCGGTCTCCCGGATGCGGGTCAGAGCCTCGTCGAGCTGAAGCTTGAGGGTAGAGAGCTCCTCGGTGTGCGCGCTGTCGCCAGCCTGCTTCGCGGCAGCCAGCTCGGCCTGGTGGGCCTCGGCAAGTTTGGCCTTGGCCTCCTCGATTCCAGCCTGGTGCGACTGCTGTAGCTTAGTCTTGACCTCCTCGAGCTCAGCCTCGTGAGAGCTCGCCAGTTTCTCCTTGAGCTCAGCGAGCTCGGCTTCGTGATCGGCACGCAATTTCTTGGTGATGGACTCGAGCTCCTCCTTGTGGGCAGCAAGAAGCTCTTCCTTGTTGCCAGTGCTCTCCGCCAGGGCCTTCTCTCTCTCGGCAGCGATCTCGGCGAGCAGCTTCTCCTTGTCGCCGGCAGTCTCCGCGTGGAGAGCCTCGACAACTTCAGAGTGAGAGGCCTTGAGAGCCTCAAGCTCCTTGGCAAGGCTGGCTTCGCTGTCGGCCTTAACAATCTCCAGTTGCTTCGCATGGCTGTCCTTGAGGCTCTGGAGCTCGGCAAGCTGAGCATCCTTGTCGGCAGAAGCTCCGCTCTTGGCGCCCTCCAGTTCCTCAGCATGGCTAGCGCGAATGGCGTCGAGCGCCTTTTGGTGCTCGGCCTCCCGTGCTTCCAGGGCAGCAACAGCGGCGGCAAGCTCAGCCTTGGCCGCCTCGAGAGCCTTGGTGCTTGTCTCGGTGC